CCCCAAAACCCCAAAACCCCAAAACCCCATGCTATGAGAAATAAAAAATAAAGAAGCATATAAATAATAATTAGAGTAAGTATTGTTAGAATTTAAATATGAATTAACAGCAGCCTCTATAGGATTCCCCTCACTTTGTTAACAGAGGGGATCATCATAACACCTCTAATAGCTTTATATCCGACAATAAAGACTAAAACAAAATGAGAAGATCTTCAAAGATTAGAAAATAGAAGCTACTAGATGAGATAGAAGAGCTTAAACAGGGGCTTGAGGACATGAAAAGGGTGGCTTCTTTTTAAAATGCCACATCGACTCTGGACCACACTTTGCAAAACGCCGATTCATCGAATTCAGGTCGCAACTATTATTCAAACACTATACCCTACAAATCATAATCCACTAATAATTAAAATCAACTAAGCAGCGCCCCATAATCTTACGTGAATCTCAAAAGCATAGAATAAGATGACCGCGAAAGAATTCTACTTTTAGACACAATTCAATAATTAAAGAAGTAAGCTTAAATCTCTGAAGAGGAAAACTTTCTACTTAAAAAACAGCTTGATGAAAATGAAAAACTCATTTCAATGTAAAGAAAAGAGATCACAGATACTAAAGGTAAACTGTAGGGTTTAGATATCAAAGTCTCTATGCTAGAGAAAAAGTTAAACAATGAGTTATTGAGAAATAAAGACTTAGAGCAGAGAATTTAAGCGCTTTAAATATAACTATAAAATAAGGATGATTCTAGTATCTTAGAAAGATAGGTTGATAGTCATCTAGACAGAAGTAGTCTAAACTATTTAGAACAAGCTCACAAAATGCAAACAGATTAATTAAGAGGACATTAGGAACATTAGTAAGATCAAATTCTTAGACAATATTAGCCTTTAATAATGAGAATGCAGTCGCATGATAAATTAAACCAAAACATAACTTAAGGAATAACAACGAGTAACAATCACTCAATTGTAAATGGAAATAATCATTCTACTTATAATTCGCATAATCATCATAGATTGCTGTCTATCGAAAAGAAATTGCACAACAGCTATAGATTCAAGCCAGTTGATAAAATAGATTAAAATCGTGCTAAACGGGATGAAGTAAGTGAATACTTAGATGGAGAGAGCTAACTAAATGTCACAGCTGGAAACGCGTTCTTAAAGGATAAGATCAGGAGGAATAGTTCTTTCGTAAGTAATACCACGAAGAGAATTAATCAGACTCAGATTATAAATGATAGAGACTTGCATGACTAAAGTAACCTCCTTAACGATAGTCATAACAACAAGGAAAATGACAGTTAAAATTAGATGATAAGGCTTTTTCCAGATAGAGCAATCAAGGCCTCTGCTTTTATTGATGTGTTTAATATGGAGAAATAAGTTATTAGAATCAAGAATCCCTTGAAGAAGCTTGCTTAAGATGTCGACCATGCGTAAATTTATCAATTTTCAATTATTTATAGAGTGTAGGATTTGCTGACATAACTAGGGGAAAGGAATATAAACTTGAAACTGGCAAAGGTTAAAGACTTAATATATGAAATATAGATTCCTACTATATAGGATGAAATACCTCAGATTAAAACTAAATTGCTTAAATTTGGACTAAGTGGGAATACATTAATGGTCCGTCTAGGAGGTGGCTACATTGATCTATTAGAATATTTGGACAGACAAGGATTTCTTATTGGCCTTGACGGTATGTAGACTGTTTGATTTTACTTTAATGAAACTTTCTATTCATTAATTATAAAGTGATATTTGTAAATTTTAGCTTATTATACTTTTAAAAATATTAAATAAACATAATCATATTAATCTAATTGTATTTACCAAATCCTAATCTCCCTTATTATTCTATTAGTCCAGTAATGCTTTTCATTATACTCCAACTTGCTCATTCTCTCCATTTTAGAATAGTATATTCTTTACATATTAATTTTAAAACAATGCCTGAGCTTGAATCTTAAGTGGAGAATTGTCTATGAAATCATATTGACTAAGGTAGTTATTCAGGAGTTTACGCCTTTCCTAGTTCTCCTGTTATCTTCTCTGAGAGCTCGTACTTCTCTAGCTGTTCTTTCTAGATGAGAGATATCCATGCGCATATGATGATTTAAACATCAGTCTTCGTCGCATCATGTCAGAATCCTTCATTTAATGTGTATGATTATAAGGCTTCACTATATTCTGTTGATTCTTGATTTGAGTTAGGGGAGCTTACTTTATCTTATACTTCTGCTATTACTATTTCTGCTTTTTAGTTGGTTTAGGCGATAGCTGCAAGTGCTAATACTCATAATCTGCAGTAGTAGGCAATCCATATTGCAATACATTACCTAGCTAGAGTGTCTTTTATTTTTTGTCAATTTTATTCAGTTGCTTCTTATTTATTATGGTCTCATATTTATATTATTCGTTATCAGTACTCTCCTCATTGAAATTTACTTATGAGGGCTATCTAGTCGATTAGAATTGATGCTGATGATAGTCGTTTAATCCCAAAAACTTTTTACCAGGCGATACAAATACCTATGAAGTTACTCTAGGAGTCTTTGAGGGACCATGATTGTTATGATTTATATTGTTATTTACCTGCTTGTTATTGTTCCAAGAAGCTTGACTAGAATTAAGATGAGATCTTACGAATGAGGGGTAAATAGGCTAAGGATTTATGGTTAGTCTTAGACCATGATCCTAATTCATATCTTGAAGTTTGAAGTTCGTAGTTTACTGAGGATCAGAGAATCTTTTTTGCTTAAATAGCAATGTAGAGCTTGCCTTCTTTATCATTAATTTTGATGTCAGATTATTTTTCAATCTCACTTGGTTTTCATCATCTAGAGGCATGACTTCCTGCAACTTTTGATTAAGATAGACCTACCTAAATTGTTTGCTCTCACTTGCTCTATTACTCTTGTCATTACTTTGCTTGCTGCAAGAACTAACCGAATTCAATCTCAATTAATGCATCGCCTGATTGTCCTGTGTAGATCCAGCAGACTAGGTTTGCATATGCAGCTAATTTTCACTCAGTAAATCTGAATCTAGTTTCTACTGCCTCATTCTCAAAAATGTCTTTATCATATGTGGGGATATTGCTCTAAAATTCTTTTCTTTTTATACTCTTTTAGTTGCTAGATTGATGCTTCTAGGCGACAATGATAACTCAATGTCTTTATAACTTGGAAGAATGGTCTCTCGATTCACATAGAATTTCTTGCCATTTGCAGTACTCGGTGCTCCATTTACATTTACACATGAATAGAACTTGGGGTAGGATTTAGGATTAAATATCGGTGTTTGATTTTACTGCTATGTTCTTAGTATTTGCTCCAAGTCATTGTTATTATTATTTGGAGAGAGATTTATAGTTTCGAAAGTCTTTTGCATTTTATTTAATTTTTAATTTACCTCAATCTTTTATATTCACTCATTCATCCTTCTCCTTGAATATTTGCTCATGGGGTTTTGGGGTTTTGGGGTTTTGGGG